AAAGAGCTCCAGCAAACCCTTCTTCCTTAGGTGCAGCAGGATATCAACAAGGCAGAGAACAGAATAAACAGCCATTCCCAATATCTGTATTCCATCTTGCTTGGATTCTCCAGAAGAGATGAGGGGGGAAAAAAATCACTTTTCAAAGTGAAATGTGGAGGCTTGTGGAGACCCTTGAGCCTGTCAGGGGAATGCCCTGGAAAAGTCTGGCACAGGCTTCGAGAATGCCTCACTTGTCTGAAATGAGACAGAGGCTTCCCCCACGGTGCCCTACAGCACTACGTTAATTTTCCTCTATTCCCTGTAGGTCACTGCCCTTCTCCCTGTCCTTGTGCCACCCCTGTTCCCTCAGACCATTGGCCCCTGACCCCATACTTAACCTGGGACACTGCACTGATTTCTGTATTTTGTCCCTGGGCTTCTTCAGCGTGGCTTTGCAATAAACCTTGCTGGAACTCTATAGAAGAACCTTTCCATCTTTCTTTGCTGACCTGTCTGTGAATTTAGTGACTGTCTGTACATATCCGAGTGGCTTTTTCAGAAGATGCTGGGAGAGGCAGCAGCAATCACCATCCAGTTCCATGCTGCTACAGTGAAAACATCACCTTTCCTCAGGGTAAACCTCTCACTGCACCAAGCAGCAGTTTGGGCTCTGGGATATCCCTGTGTCAGGTCTGGGAAGATGCTGCACCAGGACACTTAGCTGAACACCCCCCAAAACACAACTGGGACACCTCAGGCACCTGGTGAGCCCCTCTGGCTGTGGCAGGGCCGTGGGGTGAAGTGGCACAGCTGGGATTTCTCCTCCCCTGTCACATCAGAGCAGAAGGAGTTGCTGCATTTGCAGAAGTGCTGGGAGCAGCTGTGGTTATTGGAGTGGAGCACTGGCTGTGGTCCCTCTTAAACAGCCCATAATCCCAGTGGCTGGAGTGCTCAGCTCTTCCAGGTGCTGGGGTCTGACAGGGGCTTTTCTCCTCAGTGTTTGTTCCAACAACTGTAAACAAGTGCTCTAAGCAGTGTCCAGGAAAATGTCTTATCTTTGTTAATGAGGTTGCTCTGCTGATGACTCATGTCCTCTTGTGGTGACCTTCATCAGGAGAGCTCAGCATCCATGGGAAACCCTGAGAGCTCAGAACTGGGGACTTGCACCCAGTGTTTGCTCTCCAGAGAGAACCACCAACACCTGCTTCCTCCAGGAAAAGGGGACAAGGTGTGAACTCAGGAATTTGTAATGTTGGATACTCCCCCAGTCCAGCCTCTGGTGTGGCTCTGGGTGTGCCGTGGATCTCCTGGCTCCTGCTGCACCATTGCAGGGGTGTCCAGCAGGCAGGGCTGTCTGTTGAGGTGCTTCCAAAGGGGATTTCTGCTCCCATGGCTCCACTGGGACAGCAGCTTCTGCAGCCACGTGGCTTCTTGTGCTCCAGCTGAGTTTGCAGGGGACTCATCCCAATCCCTCCAGCTCTTGTGTCACACATTCAAGAGGAACCTCATCCCTGTGCACCCAGCAGGAAGCACAGCATCACCTGCTGGGATCACCTCCCATGTGTTCCTCCTGCCCCAGGGGGATGTGTGATGGTTGCTGGGTGAGAAGCCACCAGAAACTAATGACAGCCTTCCTGCTGTGTCAGAGTCACACTGAAGGGAGCTTGGAGCTTTTCCATCTGGACACCTGAGCCCTGTTTTCCCCCAGGCTGGGCTGGCACAGCTTGACTGCCTGGAAGGTGGGAGTTCTCCTTGCCTCCCTTGTGAGCTCCTGTGGAGCTCATGACTCAGTGCTGAGGCACAGGACTCGTTTGGAATGCTCTGGGGAGCATGGAGGGGAATTTGGAGTTAGTTTTTTTGGGATCATGGAATCATGAAAGCTGGAAAAGACCTCCAAGCTCAACCATCAGCCCAGCACCACTGGGATACCGGCTGTGCTAGGGTGAGGGCTCTGCCCCTCTGCTCTGCTCCTGGGGCAGGTGACCCCCTTGGGCAATACAGAGTAGGAAGGATGACTCTGAGAAAGGAAAACAAGGCATGAAAATGCTGGGATTAGGCTGGAATGTGCATGGAGAAGTAAAACATTAAGTGGGCTGGAGGAGAGGCAGATCCAGTGCTCTGTAAAAGATGCCTGAGAGCACCATAAATACCCCAAAAAGGGATTTTTAGCTCTGGGAATTGGTGTTTTGGGCCAGCAAGGTCAGAGGAAGGCTCTGGTTGAGCTCTGCAGGACAGGGTGGCCATAAATGCTGCGGATGCAGTGCCTTGTGCAGGGCTGTTGCCATCTGCTGGGCAGCTGCTGTGGCTCCTCTTGGAAGCAGCCAGGGAAGCACATTCTGCACAGGCACAGGAGGGAATTTGGCTTTCCCTGGAAGCCTTCACCTGCCCAGGCACGTCCCCTCTGGCTATTTGTCTAGCAGGGAGGAGTGGGGAGGAAAACGGGAGTTGGGCAGGTCCCAAGTTTTGAGTATTTTGGGAGTAGGAGCTGCTCCTGGCTCTCCCAGCCTGCCTGCCTACAGGTGCAGCTGGGAGAGCTCCAGCCCAGAGTATTCTGTGACATTCTGTGCAACACTGAGCAGCAGCTTAAAGACCAGCACATCACCTCTGTGAAACTTTAACTCTGTTAAAGCCATGCTGAGCAATTGAATTTAAGGCTTCTTTGAGAGCGAAAATCAGAGTGAGGCCATTAAAATCCACCTTGCTGGGTTTCTCCAGCTACTCAGAGCTTCTGCACAGGGGACCAGGGGCTTGCAGGGCCCCAGCTGTGTTATAACACAGGAGCACGTGGGGACCGGAGCTGGGCTGTGCTGGAGCTGCTCCCAGAGGTGTCACTGTCACTCCTCGTGCCTTGTGTTTGCAGGGAGCCCACGTGGGGTGGGTGTAGGAGGCTGCTGGAGGCTCCTTGTGTCCCCTCCTGGTAGCCCTGTGGACCTTCTGAGCCCTCCTTTCCTAGTACAGAATTCCCAGGAGGATACCTGCCTTCCCAAAGGCAGAGCTGAGCCTGGTGAGCTCAGAGCGTTTGGGAGGGCCTTGCTTTGCAATCTGTGGCATTTTAGATTATAGAAATGGAGTTTTAGATTATAGAAATGGGAAGTAGTGTTCCTGTTATAGGAATTGGAACCCTATTTCCTCCTCTGCCTCTCCCCACAGCACTGTTAGCACAAGGTGCATGTCTGGCAGAGGCCAGCCAGGCTGAAAGGATGGGGTTGAGCTTTGTAACTTCATCTGAGCTGTCCAAGGGGCTCAGAGCACCAGGACCCACCTGGGTTCAGCTGTTCCCTGGCTGTCCTAACCCAGGGGGGAAGGTCTGGTGGTTGGAATGGGGACATGAAGGTGAGAACTCAGGTTTTCTGTACCAGTGCCATTCTCACTTCTGGAATGGCCTCAGGGGGCCTGTGGTCACAGGGCTGACCTGAAAACACCATGAATGAAATGGTCACAAATCCCTCTCCAGGGGCTGGCTGCTGGAATTGGGGATAATTCTATCCTGAACAGCTGGTGGAGTTGAAATCCTGCAGGTGGCTGGAGCTGCAGGGCTGTGGAATGTCACAGATGCAGTGCAGTGTCTGTTCACCTGTCCTTGGGGAAGCACATGGAGCCCTGAGCAATGTCCCCATTGTCCCCAAAGCCTTTCTGCTCCCCTCCACCGAGAGACAAAGGGCCATGAGCCCTCTGGACAGTCCCATATTAGCCTTGTATTCACAGAATCCTGGAATGGTTTGGGTTAGAAGGGACATAAAAGCACATCCCATCCCACCCCTGCCATGGACAGGGACACCTCCCGCTGTCCCAGGCTGCTCCAAGCCCTGTCCAGCCTGGCCTTGGACACTGCCAGGGATCCAGGGGCAGCCACAGCTTCTCTGGGCACCCTGTGCCAGGGCCTGCCCACCCTCCCAGGGAACAATTCCTTCCCAATATCCCATCTGTCCCTGCCCTCTGGCAGTGGGAAGCCATTCCCTGTGTCCTGTCCCTCCATGCCTTGTCCCCAGTCCCTCTGCAGCGCTCCTGGAGCCCCTTTAGGCCCTGGAAGGGGCTCTGAAGTGTCCCTGGAGCCTTCTCTTCTCCAGGTGAGCACCCCCAGCTCTCCCAGCCTGGCTCCAGAGCAGAGGGGCTCCAACTCTCTCAAATCAGTGATAATTTGATATCTTAAAGACAGAAAATAATAAGGAAATTAATTTATTGTGTTGACTCCAAACTGTGTAGAGGGAAGGATGGGTGTGTAATGGGACAGGGATGTCACTGAAGGCAGGACCCAAGTGCAGGGCTACAGTGAGAAATTTCTCTTGCTGGTCAGAAAAAATCTGAGTTGAAGTGTTTGCCCTGTAGGAAATAAGCTGGAAGGAGTTTGGAAAACAAAGTCCTTGGAGCCTTATCTTGAACCACAAGCACTGGGAACATGGGAAATGGGCTGTGGGACACCAGGAAGGACCAGGAGGGGAGGGGGGCAGCAGTGCAAGCAGAGCTGTCTCAATAAGAGTTTGAGAAGTAAAATTGGCGTTTGGGGTTTCCTAATTAGTTTTAGTGTCTGCTTTTGGGCTCTCCTGGGAATTTCAGATGCTCTCTGAGGTTTTGAGGCACAAGCAGAGGAGCAGAAGGGCTGTGACCTGCTCTGAGGAGGAGCAGATGCAGGCAGAGCTCGGGTTAAAGCATAACTCCTTCCTGCCGTGCTCCGAGCAGGAATCTGGGCTGGCCTGGCTCGGCTCGGGAGGTCAGTGCTTATCGAGGACAGGACACTTCAGGCAGTGCTGCTGAGCAGTGGGTTCTGCTCACAGCTCTGCACGGCAGCAAGGACAACCCAGAGGAAAGGGAAAAACCTGCTTTGGGAAGGTAATGGAAGGAAATCAGCGTGTTTATGCTGGGTAGGCAGGGCTGAGGGAGCTTGAAATACATGAGGTTTCTGCGGAGAGGAGACAGAAAACCAGACAAACCCTCAAAACCTGGGGGTGTGAGTGGTGCCGAGGGCTGCCATGGGGAAGGGAAAATCCCATGGATCAGCTCTGCTGGGCTGCTGTCTGCAGGGCTGAGAGCTCACAGGGTGCCATTGGGGTGTTTGTAAACCTTCTTTGGGGTCAATATTGTCACTGCCTGCCAGAGATCACCCTCTGAGTCACCAAATTGCTTCTGACCTGCCCCTGGTGTGCAATCCAAGCTTTATTCATCCCTCTGTTTCTGGCTATAAGGAAGGAATTTGTCATTTAACGCTTAATTATTCACCAGAAGCACCAGGAAGGCTGAGATAAACCTCGCCAGGTCGACTTCGGATTCAGCCTTTTTATTTGGGGATGGATTCTTGGGAATCGTGAGCACCTGGAGCGGGACTGGGGCTCCCAGGACGTGCTTTTATTTTGGAATTCAGGGGAGCAGGAGGAGGCTGCGGTCACACGGCAGGGAAGTGTGCGGAGCTCCTGCTCCTTATCGGGAACAAAAGGAGCTCTGTTGGGACTCAGCAGATCTCTCCTTAAGCCTCCCCTGGACTTTGCTTCCCTCCTGCCTCACAGAAGCAGCTCCCGGAGCTGGATCTGCCTCTGGACAGGATGTCTCCACAGGTGGGTTTTTGACATAAAACAAAGGATTGGATTTCCAGAGGGATCGTGTTCAGCCCTGGAGGTGCCGGCAAGGGGCAGCTTGGGAATTCACCTGACTTTTACATGGGCAGATCCACCTGGTTTTTTACGTGAGAATGGTTTAGATTAAAAGAGGAGAGATTTAGATGGGATATTGGGAAGGAATTGTTCCCTGGCAGGGTGGGCAGGCCCTGGCACAGGGTGCCCAGAGAAGCTGTGGCTGCCCCTGGATCCCTGGCAGTGTCCAAGGCCAGGCTGGACAGGGCTTGGAGCAGCCTGGGACAGTGGAATGTGTCCCTGCCCATGGCAGGGGGGTTGGAACTGGGTGAAATTTTAATGTCCCTTCAAACCCAAACCATTCCAAGATTCTGTGATTCCATGGGCTGTGGTGTAACTTCACTCTGCTCTCTGCCTGGGGGAGTTGGCTCAGCAGGAACAATGCCTGCTGGTTTTTGGGGTGCTGGGGACAGTGTGCATGGTGTGGTGTTTTGTGAGTTGGTTTTGGGTTTGTTTTTTGGGCCGGGTGAGTGTTTTCAGATTGCCCCAAGAGGTGCAGCAGGTTTCTCTTGCCCAGCCTTGAGAGGGGTGATGGTGACAACCCGAACTGTAGGAGCTGAGTTGTGGAAGTTGCCTTCACCCAGGGCTGAGCTCCCTGGCTCCCTGGCTTCCCTGAAAAGCTGCCATTGCTATGTGGGAAGAGGGCAATACTGGGACCCAGAGGTGGCAGTCCCCAAAGTGGCATTCCAGAGGCTGAGCTGCCCTGGGGTGTTCCAGGGCTTTGGGGGCAGCTGCATTAATGTGGGACTACAAACACAGCTGTGTCCCTTCTCCCTGGCTCCCAGCCTGGCACTGTCACCAGGGTGTCCTTTGGAGGGGGATTTTTGTAGCTGATCTGTCTCCATCCTGTGCACAGTCAGGGCTGGATTCTTCAGAAACAGGCTGACACTGCTGAGAAAACAGAGTTGTTTTTCCTTTTCCTTGTCACTCTCCTCCCCTCCTAACCTTCTGAGTGTTTGTGTTCAAGGACAGCAGAGCTTTGGGATGCCAGGACAGTTTCAGGGACAGCCCTGGCTGGAAGGAACCTCCCTGGGAGCCAGACTTTGCCCTCCTTTCCAAGGCAACGCCTTGGCAGAGCTTGTGCTGAAGCTTCTGTCCCTGGCAGATCAAAGCTGAGCCTGTCCCTGCCTGGGCCTTGCAGGTGATTCCCAAGAGTCCTTCTCCTCACACTGCAGCAGCTTTTTTAAAATCCATATGGTTTTATAGCACTTTAAAACATCCCATTAAGTAATCTTTACTCCCATATATCATCAGATGCCTGAATGGATGAGCTGCTGCTGCAAAAGGCTCCTAAGGCACCTCACCACCTCACCTGTCCCATCAGGGCATGTGACATCATCCCAGTGCTGATTGCACCATTGATTTCCTTTCAGAAGCAGGAGTGTTCACCTGAGCCCTCAAATCCCTGGAGTTTACCTGAGCAGCCAGAGGTGTCTCCAGGTGACCCCATGTCCTGTCAGCCAGGTGTGGCTCTGGGGAAATACCTGCTGCAGGAGCTGGATTTGGGATTGGGAACCTCCATCAATCCCTGATCCTGTTCCAGCTCAGAACTCTGCGTGTGCCTGAGTCTCAGTTTGAATGTCTGAGGTTCGCCTGAAGCACCTCAGGGCATGTTTTATTCCATAAAAATTTAAAATGCACTGATTATGGTGACACCAACCCCACTCTGAATGTGGCACAGATATTCCTGGCAAGTCCCCTGGGGTGATTGTAGCCCAGCCTGGCTATCCTGAGCTTATGGATGTTTTTAAGTGTATTTGGCTTTTTTTAAGCTGGAAAAAATGTTTACTCTCTGCTCACAGGAGGGCAAGGCTGGCTGAAGGAGAGCTGGGGCAGGGGGGTTTGAAGGGTCAGTGCACAAACCAGCTGCCCAAAAGGCCATAAATAAGAACTTTCTGTACCCACACACGTGCCCAGGGATAGAGATTTGGCTCTGATAGGCATTTGGCAATACCTGGACCCCCTTGGTTTGCCTATCTCCTCCTGGCATCTCTTCTTGAGGTTTAGTTACTGATTCTGTGATGAAATGTGCAGCAGAGTTCTCCACGCTGGTGCTCAGGAGGACTTTGTTACAGTTTCAGCTGCTTCTTAAATCATTGTCCACACAGGTTTCATTTTAATAGGGCTCTCTTGCTTTAGAAACCTCATCTAGGCTGGTATCACAAAGGAAAAATACAATTTTTAGATAATAAATTGATGCATCTATTTGGTGTGGCTGAAGGACAATGGTTGATGTGCTCCTACTCCAAAAGGATTGCTCCCAAATCCAGCCTGTCCATGCATGTATTTCCCATAAATAAAGTGTTTTGGAACAATTTGATGGAGAAATCATGGAATCATGGAATGATTTGGGTTGGAAGGGACCTTAAAGGTCCTCTTGTTCCAGTGTCTGACTAAGGGCACTGTTCAGCTCTTGGTTTGCTTCATGTTGAGGGGGTCAGCAGTAACCACAGCAGGGTTTTTAATCAAATTACTTGTGAGTAATTTGGGAGCGTTTGCAGTTTTTTTGGCTGCTTTCAGTAGTTGTGTTTACTCTGTGCTTATTATAATACTTCAGTTTGCTCATTATAATACTTGAACATATGCTTAAACTAAGCTTTTCCAGTGAGAAACGGGAGGGGGTTGGTATTTTAAAAGCAGCCTTTATTTTGTAGTGTGCAAGCAAAATTCTTTCCAGTTTGGCATGAAATCTTTTACAATCAGGGAGGGGAATGTGCAGGTGGGGGTGGCTGCTGTCACCTCTTGGGCTCTCTCTGTGACCAAGCCAAGGCAGGTCAAGACTCTGCTTCCCCTTGTCCCTCCTGCTGGAGCATTAATGGTGTTTCTAGAAAGTGCAGCATAAATCCAGTAAAGCACTTAAGGAAGTCCCAGCTTTAGGTGTGTAAGTGGTTTCGGTGGATTTGTGCTTTTTTAAGTGGGTGGGGGCTTTAGAGGCTTTTGTTTCTCTCTCTAAGACTGGCACAGGCTGTGCCCTGCTGGAGTTCACTGGAACAGCCCCTGCCTTCAGGCTCCAGCTCTGTGCAGGTTTGTGTTGTGTTTAACTTCGGGGTGGTGTCCTGGAGGTGCTGCTGTCCACAAGCCAGGAGGAAGCTGAGCCAAGAGGAGCTCCTGGGTCCATCCTGCTGAGTGTGGTGGGCACAGGGAGAGCAAGGCTGGGCTGGACTGAGTCACTTGGCTGCTCCCAGTGGCCATGTGGAGTGGGAATTGCTGTTATCAGCTCTTTCTCCATCCCTTCGAGGTTTTCTATCCCTTTTTGCCCCTGGAAGTGTCCAAGGCTGGGCTGGATGGGCATTGGAGCAACCTGGGATAGTGGAATAGGCAGGGAGTGGAATGAGGGTTTTAAAGTCCCTTCCAACCCAAACCACTCTATGATTTTTATGAATACAGTGCTTTGATAAGCATAATTTTCTCCAAAATCCTTGGGAAAAGCCCTGAAAGCTGTTCTGTGTACCCTGGCAGAAGAAAAGGGTTTTGCCTCAGTCGTGCCTGCGTTCACACTGCTGCTCTTTTGCTGTGCTGGAGGGGCAGCTGAGCACGTGGGAGCCCACCAGGTGACCTTCAGGGGGAGCAGATGGCTTTCCATGAGCAGCTCTTCACATGGAGGCCGGGCAGGAGGGCTCCCTCTCCTCTGCCCAACCCCTCTGGTGACAGGGGAGCAGCTGGAGCTCAGCATCAGCACTGGCAGATCCCAAAATTCCTTGATTTGCTCTAAGTCGTGCTGGGGAAATCCCCAAATCTTAGGAAAGGGGCTGGCACTGTGAGGGGTAACAAGAGCTTTGGCTTTTGGGGGGGGTTCTGCTGCTGCTCCCATGGTTCTCCAGACATCAGCATCAGAAGGGAGTGATGTCCCTGCCCCTGTGTAGGAGCAAACAGGCAGGACTGAAGCTGAGCACCTGCCTGGGGGTGCAGAACTGTGAGGAAAACACAGTTCTTGCTCATATCACAGTCTCTTAAAACCCAAACCCTGCTGCTTTCCCAGAGCCTGCTCAGTGATGGATTTGAGATGCTGCTCCAGCTGAAGTGAGGAGATTTGAGTCTCTGCAAATCCAAAGCTGTGATGAAGATTTAGAAACAGTTTATTTGCTGTTGAGGGATGGAAGGTTTTACCAGACTGGGCAAAAAAAAGGTGCTCCAAGGGCTAATTGGGAGTTTTGAACGGTGTTTTTTGCAGGAAATTCAGATTAATAACATGTCCTCTTGGAATGGGGTGGAGGAAAGCAGCACTGATGGGAATTGCAGAGTCAGTGGTGGGTAATCCCTCCTGCCCATACCAAATCCATCCTGGCTCACAACAAAACCTCCCTCCAACTCTTATTTAGTCCCTATTTTTGTGATGTGCTTCCCAAGCCCTGCAAAGGCTGAGGTGCACCCCGTGGTGCCCAAGGAGCAGTACCTGGGGCTGGGGTGATTCCAGAGGTTGGATTCCTGTGCTCAGGAATACAACACAGCCAAAATTCCCTTCCTCATCCCTGTTTTGTCCCGCTCTGCCACGAATCCACGCAGCTGTAGGATCTTATTGCTTTGCTTCTTGTGATTTATTTTTTTTTTTTAACCAGGCAAATGAGGTGACTGACAGTGCCTACATGGGCTCAGAGAGCACCTACAGTGAGTGTGAGACCTTCACAGATGAGGACACCAGCACCCTGGTCCAGCACGAGATGCACGACGAGGTGGAGACCGACAGCGCCATCGACTCCACCGTGCACTCGGAATTCACAGATCCCATCGAGGAGCCGGAGCATGGGTGAGTGGGAACAGCCAGGAGCAAACCCCCCATGCAGGGCAGGCAGTGAGGATTGAGGGACACACAGCCTGAGGGGTTCACATCCAGCGGGCTCGGTTTGTCTTGCTGGAACTTGGGTTGTTCTTTGTGTTTGTAACGTGCGAGACCAAAATAGCTCTTCTGGGGGAATAACGAGAATAATTAGGCTGGTTTGTGTAGGCTGGTTTGGAGCCCAGCCTGGCAATCTCTTTGAGTTAATCGTTGCTTGCCTTGGGAGATCTTCTGTACCCTCATTAGCATCTTTAACCTCTAAAATAACTTCTCAGGTGATCCAAACACCTGAAAGACTTGCAGTTTTTAATCTATCACTTAAGCCAGAAACACAACATATAATTTTCCAGTCAGGAGGGGAACTCGTTCTATTTTTGTTTTCCCTAAAAACATGCATGTGCCCTTTGATGTGCAACCACCTCCTGTAATAACTGGTTTGAAACCTCTGCCTGGAGCACAGAAATGTGAGCCAAGATCTCCTTCCTCGGGTCTGAACCGCTGCTGGCGAAACTGCTCCTGGGCCCACCCCATTTTTGGAGGAAAAGTGGGGTTTGGGGTGAAACTGGGATGCTGGCAGGCAGGAAGGCAGGGAAGACCTCCTTTAGGATCAGAATCCCAGAATGGTTTGGGCTGGAAGGGGTCTTAAAGCTCATCTCATTCCACCCTCTGCCATGGGCAGGGACACCTTCCACTATCCCAGGTTTCTCCAAGCCACATCCTGGACACATCCAGGACTGGGGCAGCCACAGCTTCCCTGGAAAATCTGTGCCAGTGCCAGGTTACTGCCCCAAGAACACCAGTCTGCACCAAAACCTCTGGAATCATCTTTGCTTAAGGTCTGTAAGACACAGGATGAGTTTTGTCCCAAAGCACAAGGCCCGGGGTTGGTGCTCCAGGGAGTGCTTACAGCTCCTCCTGCTTTTTGGGAGCACCAGGCTTCCCTCCCACCCCAAAATCCCGTTGGGGATGTGGGAGAGGCAGCGAGCAGTGCTGCCCCCGGGGCTGAAAGGGTGCTGTGGATTAGAGCAGAAATGGGATTATCCAGCTCGGCTCTTCTCTCCCCAGCACGCCCAGCTCAGTGAGAGTTAAATTGGGAGATAATCAGCTGTGAGCTCCTGTCACCAGCACAGGGTCCCTGCAGGGGTCATGGCAGCCTGTGTGCCGCTGGGGACAGCAGCCTGCTTCGGATTCACCTGCCTGTAGGTACAGAACTCTGCGTGGGGAAATGGGGTTTGTGAGATCAGCTGGTTCCTGCTGCTTGCCAAGCGTGGGGTGAACAGGACAGGAAGGACAGGCTTGTTGGAAAGAGTTCAGAGGAAGCCATGGGGATGCTCCAAGGACTGGAGCCCCTCTGCTCTGGAAGAGCTGGGGGTGCTCACCTGGAGAAGAGAAGGCTCCAGGGACACCTCAGAGCCCCTTGCAGGGCCTAAAGGGGCTCCAGGAGAGCTGGAGAGGGACTGGGGGCAAGGGATGGAGGGACAGGACACAGGGAATGGCTTCCCACTGCCAGAGGGCAGGGATGGATGGGATATTGGTCAGGAATTGTTCCCTGGGAGGGTGGGCAGGCCCTGGCACAGGGTGCCCAGAGAAGCTGTGGCTGCCCCTGGATCCCTGGCAGTGTCCAAGGCCAGGCTGGACAGGGCTTGGAGCAGCCTGGGACAGTGGGAGGTGTCCCTGTCCCTGGCAGGGGGTGGCACTGGATGGGCTTTAAGGCTTCCTTCCAACCCAAACCATCCTGGGATTCCCTGCTACCCCAGGTGTGGTCTTGGGAAGGTTGGATGTCCTTTGGCTTCTCTGTCCAAGCACAGTGGGGCCTGTTCCCAGATTGTTAAATGTGTGCAAATTCCAGGGAGCCAAAAACTTAATTTGATTTATACATTTGAAAGGTTTGAAATGGGAGCCTGTGGGAGTGCTGAGGGCTGGTTTTGGTACCATCAGACCCCACACACCTCTGGTGCCCAGGGACAGCCAGGGAGGGAGTACAGCTCCCTGAGAGCAGCTGCTGGGTTGAATCAGCTTCAACATCACTTCTCAGGAGCTCTCAGAGCTCAACATAGCTGAAATGATTTGAGTTTTAAGGTTGTTTAGGCTATGTGTACTAAAGATTAGTTGGACTCTGGATCCTGAAACTGCCTGAGCCTCAGGATGGGAATAGGAAATAAAATTTACTGCCCGAAGCATCCAGGTTGAGGATTTCCAGGTGCCTGATCAGATCTGTTTCTGTACAGTGCTTATCAAACCACAGCCCCAAATTTAGAATTCTGGGCTTGGGTTCTGCTTCTGAATTAACAATTCCACCCCCTGGCTTCTATTCCTGGAGAGATTTCCGCTGCTTTTGGTGAGGGTCTGACTCACCACAGGGATGGACGGGTTCTGGTGGATCCCACTGTGGAATATTGGTGCTTCCCAAGGGCATGAGGGGGATGTGCAGATGTCCACAAGCTGGGCTGGATTTATTTGTGGTTAAATAGAGATCTGGAGGGCTGACATGTTTTTATTAGCGGGATAAGGGAAAATCCTTCAGATGGAGCAGGTTTTTGTCATAAATGGCTTATCTGTAATCTTTTTTTTCTTTCTGGTTTAGTCCAGCAATCTGCTCATACCCCATTTCCCTCTCCTAGCAAGTGCATGGAGATAAGGGCCTAGCCAATACCAATTTCTGTAATAAGGCAATGTATTATGATTTTTAATGTAGAATTAAGGAGAGCAGATCGTTGTTAAATCCCCTAAAACACAGCCCTGTGGCTCATGGCCCCCTGGCCACATTCACAGCCTGGTTGTGGCAAATCCCTCCTGCCTTTTCTCCAGCTTAATTTGAAAACTTCCAGAGTCCTGGGCAGGAAAGAGGGCTTGGCTTGGTGGGCAGGCCCTGGCACAGGGTGCCCAGAGAAGCTGTGGCTGCCCCTGGATCCCTGGCAGTGTCCAAGGCCAGGCTGGACAGGGCTTGGAGCAGCCTGGGATGGTGGGAGGTGTCCCTGCTATGGCAGGGGGTGGCACTGGACCGGCTTTGGGGTCTCTTCCAAGCCAGGCCATTCCAGGATTCTGTGGCTCCATGCCATGGAAAGACTCTTCCAGGGACAATGACTGCTGAGCTGTGTCCTCTCAGGAGCAAGGGACATCCCAGGAGTTGTGCTGGGTGTGTTCAGGCTTTGCACCAAGGCTTAACACACTTCTGGGTCTGGTGTTAAAAGCAGATGGAGCAGCATTCCTCACTCCAGGATTGTGACACACAGAGTTTTCCCAGCAGGAGCAGGGAAAGGGTTCCTTTGTCTTGCTGGGGGTCTGTCCCAGCTGCCTGAGCCCACCCCTCCCCACACCAATCCCCCCTGGGGTTATGGGGTTAAAGCCCAGGCCCTTGAGAGGATTAGGCAGCAGCAAGTGTGAGCCTGGCACGGGCTGCCATGGAACTCACAGCATTTAGGATGTGGCTGGGACATGCCCAACTCTTTCTCTGCCATGCCAATTACAGAAATTGATATTTTAGTTGAGCAAGGGCTTGTCACCAACCCCAGGCACTGTCCTGCAAGTCTGAGTGCCCCCAAATCCTGTGTTGCAGCTGTCAATAGAAAAACTTGGTTTATTAGGGGAAAAGCATCACCATAAACTTCCCAGTGGTGCCTGGGCTGTTTCTGTCCTGTCCTGCTCTGCCAAAATGAAACACATCACCTGGTGGGGTGGGCTGGACACCAAGGAACCCATCCAGATGGACAGGAAAAGAGAATATAACAAAGAGTTCATGAGTTGAGATAAGGACAGGGAGAAATCACTCATCAAACACCATCACGGGCAAAACAGACTCGAAATGGAAATACTAATTGAATTTATCACTGACAAAATCAGAGCAGGATAATGAGAAATAAAATCAGACCTTAAAAACACCTCCACCCCCCATCAGAGTCCTTCCCCTGCCCCACTGTCTCCTTGCACAGGAGACAGCTCTCCATGAACCTCTCCCATGGGCAATGGGCAATGATTCTCCTGTGTGTCACTCTTCTGTGGGGTCACTCCTTCAGGCACAGCCTGGGGCCCCACTGGCTCACAAATCCCACCAGGACCCTGTCCCAGCATGGGCTCCTCTCTCCATGGATTCACAGACCCCTGCCAGACCCTGTCCCAGCACAGCTTCCCAGGGGCTCACAGCCCCTCTCAGGCACCCCTGGGCTCCTCCAGGGGCTGCAGGTGCATCTCTGCACCTCCCTGCCCTCCATGGGCTGCAGGGACACAGCTGTCTCCCCTCGGGCTTCCCCACAGAATCTCAGGGTCCTGCCAGGATCCTCGGGGCAGTCTCAGCTCTGGTGCCCAGAGCAGCTCTCACCCCTGCCCTGCCCTGTTCCTCCCCAGGGTTCTCACCCCACTCTTCTCTGCACTCAGTTCAGCTGCCCCATCACTTTTTGGTGTTTTCCCTCTCAAATCTGTTATCCCAGAGGTGCCCCCGCCATTCCTGATGGACCCAACCTCAGCCAGCAGCGAGTCCATCTTGGAGCCACCAGGGATGGGCTCTGCTGGACATGGGGGGCGCTTCCAGCAGCTTCTCACAGAGCCCAGCACTCCCGTGCCAAGTGCTGGGCACACAAACCCAACGCTCCTGGCAGGAGGATGTCCAGGATGTCCAGGATGCAATGCAAGGCTGCTGTGGCTCCCCCCTCTAACATCTGCCTTCTGTTCCCACAGATCCCATCCCCACGAGCTGGCCCTGGGCTCGGAGCTCGGCCACTCCATCGTCACCGTCATCAGCGGGGAGGAGCATTTCGAGGATTACGGGGAGGGGAACGAGGCCGACCTGTTCCCAGACCCTTTGTGTAATGGGGAAAGCAGCTTTGGCAGCTCCTCCTTCCTCTCTCCCAGGTAATGCCCGGCCCTGGTGCTGCTTCATTCTCCTCTGTGGGGTTTCTCTGGGATTTGCCAGACATGGCACCTGGCAAGCTCTGCTTACAACGGGATAATGGGCTTGGAAGTGGAAGAGGAATTTCCCCCCGAGTGTTTCCTTTCCCTGGTCAGTGCCTGTGCTGCTGACACCCAGCAGGAGGTGGAAGAGCTGTCTGCATTTCCAGCATCACATTCCCACTGCTGTTAGGGATGAACCTCCCAGGAGAGAAAAACCACCTGCAGCTTTACTCCTGATCCTGCAGGATGACTCTTATCTTTTTTTCTCTTTTATTATTTTGGGCTTTGATGCAATGTTTGGTTGGATTTGCACGAGCTGCAGCAGCATTCCTTCTCTAGGGATGTGTAGAGCAGGAGGTAGGCTGTAGCATTTCCTCCTTGCTTTAGGATCTGAAACCAGGAAAAAATCCATTTTCCAGCCCGAGCAGGGCGGGCTGAGGATCTGGTATGGTGGTACAAACCCCTTCAATACTTACTTTCTAAAGAAAATAAGTAAAAGCTGGAATATCATCCAGTGCTGCAGCCCACAAAGTGTCTGGGATGCCAGGGAACACTGGGAATGTGTTCCTGCATTGGAAGCAGATCTCTGCACAGGGCAGGAGTGATCCCTGCCAGCCACACACCCATGCTAAAGACAAAAATACACTTCTTTCTCTTTGGAATGACACATTTGTGCCTTTCTGCAGCCATATAAATTTCTTAAAACTTCTTTTTTTTCCTGTCTTCCTGCTTTCTCCCAGCTTCTCAAACCCTTCACAGAGTTTGGACAAATCTGGTTGCAGAAGAGCAGGTCAGGGCTCATATTTTTTTGGCCCTTGCAGCAGCAGTGTTGGAGGTGTTAATTGCAAATAGGAGAGTTGCTATAAAGAATTCCCAACGTTTTCCTTTAGGAAAGCTGCAGTGGGAAGGGCACAGTGTCTGATCCATGCTTGTCCTTGGCTTGCCCTGTGCAGGAGTGTAAGGCTGCCTGTGCTGCTGCTGTGGCATAGGAAGAACTCTGTGATTAAAAGCCAGCCTTGGTGTTCATTTTTCCTTGAGGATGAGCTGCCAGCCTCATCCAGAAGGCTCCTGGCAAGAAAATACCCAGCTAAAGGAGCTTTTCAATCACTTAAACTTTTTCTTTAACATCAGGCCAGAGCTCCCAGTTTGCCCACGCTCCCAGTGTTCCAACCTTGCTCTGCCAGGGCACCATCCCTCCTGCTCTGTCTCTGGACCTGATCCACCCCTTATCCCATCTTCCCTGTGCTGGGAGGGGCTCGTTGGGCACGTGGCCACACAGGTTGTGGTGCTTTGTGCTGGAGACTCTCTGCTGGGGCTTGCTGGGGAGGCAGGCTGGAGATAAACCCTGCAAACTGGAGTCAGGAATGTGGGGCTGTTGGAGCTGGAGGATTTCCTCATGCCTCTCACATCTAGCCTGCCCCTGGATGATTGCTGTGTGTGTGGAGTCCTTCCCTAAACATTCCCTGAGTCTGTGCAGCTCTTCTGACCTTGGATAGGAAGGGACAGGACACAGGGAATGGCTTCCCACTGCCAGAGGGCAGGGCTGGATGGGATATTGGGAAGGAATTGTTCCCTGGGAAGGTGCGCAGGCCCTGGCACAGGATGCCCAGAGAAGCTGTGGCTGCCCCTGGATCCCTGGCAGTGTCCAAGGCCAGGCTGGACAGGGCTTGGAGCAGCCTGGGACAGTGGGAGGTGTCCCTGCCCATGGCAGGGGTGGGATGGGATGAGCTCTAATGTCCTTTCCCTCTCAAACCATTCCATGCCTGAGCAGCCCCAGTGTGTTTAAACAGACATGAAGGGGCCACAGGCTGTCCTAGTTCAGGCTGAATGGGTTTTTTGGTTGTATTTTGAATACAAAGAACTGCATCACTTGTAAAAGGCCCCATGCTACTCTAGTAGTAGAGTCTCTAAATGGGAATAATTTCTGGAAATTCTCCTGCCACAATTCCAGAAGATGAACATAAACCCCAAGAGCCTTCAGGGAACACTGTGGGGTGCAGTGCTTCCCTGCCCAGTCCTTGTCTGTTTGTTTGTGATCCCTCCTCTTGAGTCTTCCTTTGCATATCCATCCAGTAGGAAAAGCCTCTTTGCAGCTCTCAGTGGGAAATGAAAGGAAAAGCTCCTTGTGCCCATCCCAGCCACCAGGAAGCACCAAGGACCTGTGGAAGACAAACGTTGCTCCAGGAGATGCAGGGAGGCACAGGAAGGCTCTGTGTTGTAGAAGCACAGAATCTGCTGAGCTGGAAGGGACCCATCAGGATCCTGGAGTGGGTGGGGACACCCCAGGGCTGAGCTCTCACCCACTCCATGGGCAGGGGGCCAGGGCAGCCACAGGCCAGGAGGATCTGCACACACCCCAGGAGCTGCCAGGCTGGCCTGGGGCTTTCCTCCACACTTCTCTTCTCATTTTGATTAATGCTGGTTAAATTTGGGTTCCCACCTGGCCCAGGCTGCACCACCTGGGAAGGGAATGCTCCCAAGAGCCCCAGAAAAGGGACATCCCTTCCCCCAGGTGCCACACAGCTGCTGTCACCTCCTCCTTGCACAAACCCTGAGCCACCGACCTGTCTGCTGCTGGGAAAAGATTATCCCGGGCCAGGCCTGCCCTGAGGGGTAGGGGGAATGGTTTTCAATTGATTTTTTTTTTTTTCCAGGAATGGGAAGAGATGATAATTTGGCGTTTGCTGGTGTCCAGCCTGTCTGAGGGGGCTGGGAAATACTGTACAGACAGCACAGCCCCCAGGCCTGACCCTGGGGTGGGGCTGAGCCAGGGGACCCTCGGGGTGTCCCAGCTCTGCACATGCCCCAGGCCAGGAGCTGCTGGTGGGTTTCTGTGTTCAGGGATTCTCTGCCCCTTCAGTGCCTCTTGGGTTTCTCTTGCTTGTGTTTGCTCACACCTTTACCTGTCTGTCTTATTGAACTGCTTGGGTTTTTCACTATTTAACCTTTCTTTGATTCACGTCCGTGGCTTCCAGAAGCACATTTTCCTACAGGAAGGATTGGTGGAATCTGGCCCCAAATTAACACAGACGTTTTGTTGCTCAGAATCCCCTCTGTCCTGCCCAAGTGTCTCCCAGCTTCCCAAACTGTGAAAGTCCCACAGACCCCCATGCCCCTTCCCAAATTGCATTCCCTGCAGGAACTCAGCACTGCTGCTTTGCAGAAGAGAGGGGTTAAACTGTACCTGTCCATTTAATCTGGGTTTAAAAGCTGTTTGCAGTGAAAATCTGACTCTGTGTATTACCAAGGTGGGTCTGCAGCAGCACAGCTGCTCTACTTTTAAAGCATCCCATTGAAAAATGGGACACTGACCAAAGGATCACAGAATCCCCCAATATCCTGAGTGGGAATAGACCCATCAGGATCATCCATCCAGTCCATCCCCTGGCCCTGCACAGAAACCCCAACAATCCCATCCTGTGCACCCCTGGTGCCCAAACACTCCTGGAGCTCTGGCAGCCTCGGGGCTGTGCCCATTCTCTGGGGAGCCTGGGCAGTGCCCAGCACCCTCTGGGGAAGAACCTTTTGCTAAAATCCAGCCTAAACCCCCCCCTTAGATTCAGCCCTAGCTCACAGCTCCCAGTCCTGCAGTGTGCAAGTTCATTCTGCACTTGCTGAGGCAAACCAGGAGCCTCCTGGGACAGGTTGCCTGGAAAATTCTGTTGGAAAATGAACTTTGCAGTGGTGTAGGTTTGTGGGAAGCACTTACCTCACCTGCCCTGGGCTCTTGGGGATTGAGATTGGCTCAGGGGTTTGGAAATGTGGGCCAAGCTCAACTGCTGGGACTCTCTGGGAGTAAGGTGATGGAAGTGTTGCTAATTATCAACTATATAAATTCTATTGAGCTATTACAAATTATCAATTAACTACATATTGTTATAAACCATTCAAAATCAGAAATTATCCCTATATTATTAGAAATTATATATCCACATATATTAGAAATTATCCATATATTATTATAAGCTACTCCACACTGGCTTTAATTTGACTTCAAAAATCATGGTGGGAGGCGACCCCAACCTGCCTTGCCTTTTTAATTCCAATTTCATACCTCCCACCAAAACTCCCCCTACCTTGAGGGGACCCTCAGCTTGTGGAAGCCACGGCTGCAGCTGCTCCCTGTGCATTCTGTGCTGCTGACATGACCCTTGTGATCTCTCTAGCACCAATCCGCTCGCTGCGAAACTGCACAGCATTCTCGCAGATGAAGCTTTTGAGTTTTACTGTAGCCAGTGCCACAAACAAATCAACCGCCTCGAGGATCTTTCTGCTCGCCTGAATGATCTTGAAATGAATAGGTAACCGTGTGCATGGCCAGGGCAGCCTGGGGATGATGTTCTGCCTGGGAAGGCTCTCCTTGTCTGGAACAGCTTTTCCCTGGTTCTGTGCTGCTGGAGAGAGGGTGGGGAGAGGGGATGAGTTTCACCCGGGAGCCTCTGCAGGTGCTCGAGGTGCTGGAAGGGTGAGCAGGAGGTGCCTTTAATGCAGGCCCTGTGTAACAGTGATGGGATTTTGCACCATTAATCAGTGCTTTGTCTCTTCTGCCTTCACTCAGAGCCAGGATTAAAAAACACATGAAGGAAATAGATTTTCTCGTGTTCAGGCTTGGTTGTTTGTTAAATCTTATCAAAAGTACAGAAAGTTCAGCAGCACTTCTAACTACCAGCCAGAAGTGAGCAAAATGGAGATGAATCCAGCTGCTACAAGGTCTCTTAAAGCTAAACAGTCCAATAGAGAATTAACACCTCTATTATTTATCCTTTTAACCCAATAACTAAGTTCCCATGACCCTCACTGTGACACTGACTGACCAACCAGAAACTACTGCCTGAAACCCATGAAGAAGAAGATGAACACTGAAAGAGACACCACCCCAAATCCTCCATCTTGTCCTGTGCCTTTTACTATATTATAAAAACCTCAAATTTAAAACCCTTTACCATGTGAAATCACACACTTCTATTTAACTACACACCTGTCATTTTAAATTCATCACTCAAATTTAGAAGCCTTCTCCAAGGCCTCAGGTCAAAAGCAGTGTTCTCCAGGGGGTCAGTGCCAGAAAGCACAGAAAGCTCAAAACCCCCAGGTTTGTGGGATCCAGCAGCACTGGGGGCTGGCAGGCAAGGAGAGCGTTCCCTGCCCTTTGCATGCCTGTGCATGGTGGGTTCCATGGGAGCTGTGTACAGTATTTCTGTCACCAAGGAAAGACTGGGAATGCTCTGGAAGGGCAGGAACAGCCTGAAGGCATCAGCCTGCTCCACAGGGCTTGGGAGCAGTAAAATGTTGTTTCACCCAGCTTCACCCACAGCCTGCCCACCTTGGTGTCACCATGGGCTGGGGAGATGTGACAGACACCAAGAATGTCAGGAGATTCTGAATGGCACTTTGGAGGCACTTTGGAGGTCTCTGGATGTGTTGTCTGACAAGTGGGAGGATTTCTGCCTGTTGGTTTGTTCATTTAGAGCTGGTTGCAGCCCTCTAGGTGGAAGGATGGTGGCATTGGTGATAAATCTTTCTTCTCATGGCTGTTGTGGCTATTCAGACCTGGTTTTTGGTCATGCTCTTGGTCTCTGTCTGTCTATCCTTTGCAGGGACAGTGTGATCTGAGAGCTCTCCTGGTCTATGGGAGGAAAACTGGAAAACAAATAGGAGCTTGAATTTAATTATTTTTAATGAAAAAAAAAAGGTCTCTCCTTTTATTTTTCTTGGTTAAATAGTTGTCTTTGCTGTTGGAGGCTTTGAGGGTCAATGATGGGTCTCAGGTTATGCAGGCATTAAGGAGAACACTGGTCTTCCCTGGAAGCCCCACTCCATTTCAGGTTTTCTCCACCACATCTACCTGCACAGCTGACCTAAGCCCTCAGAGCCTCTGTGATGGGTGGGATTTCCTGTGGAGCTTCTCTGTCCTCTGGTCATGGTGGGAGTTCCATAGACTTTGATTTGCCCTTTGTGAGTAAGTGCAATTCCTCCATCTGAGTTCTGGGTTTCCCAAGTACAAATTTTCTGGGAATATGTTCCAAAGGCCTGTGTGGAAGGGGCAGTGCCCTCTCTCTGTGTGCTGTGGATGGGAGGTGTCCTGTGCAGCGTGTGGGACACGCAGGACCTGCTGCTCCTCCCTGCAGCACCACTGATGTGAGGCCTTCAGAGCAGGGGAGGAGTCCTGGAGCAGCAGGAACTGCACCAAAATCTGGGACAAGCCTGAAGACACCTCCTCCAGGGGATTCTGGCAGCTGGGATGAAGCCCAAAGCACCCCAGAACAGCCTCACTCATGAAAGCTGTGGGCACACAGTGTTTTATCCTTGGAATAAACTGGGGAGCTGCTCCCAGCATTGGGGTGCTGCTTCCTGAACCCACAGCATGGGAAAGCAGGGAAGAATCCTCCAGGAGTTTGGGGTGAAGTGTTTTGTGCCTCTGCTTTGTTCCAGTGCCCTTGCTGGTGTCTCAGCCTTTGGACACTGCAGGTGCCGTCGCTTCCCCAGGAGATTTTTCCAGAGGAAAATATTTTTCCCTGCAGTGCTGGGGCCATTGCTCACAATTCCTGGCAAACAGCAGGGCCTGACCTCCTCCCCTTGGGTGCTGAGCAGCCTTGAAGCCCAGCCAGCAGCAGCCCTTGTTCTCCCTGGAAATGTGGGATTTGAGGATGCACTTTGACCCGGGGCTGGTCATCCTGGCAACACCCCCAGTCAGGTTTGGGGGTTGCTTTACAAAGTAAATTGTCCTCAGCTATTTTTAATCCCTCCTTCGAAGAACTCATGTTGCAGCTTCAGGCAGGAGTGGACTTCCAGATGATTTTATTTGGTTTTTATTTTTCCTAAAACTGAGCTAAGCATCAGGGAATGCAGTTGCTGCTTCTTGGATTGGAGCTGTTCCTGCTGCCATCACTGAGTGAGGATTTGGTGTGGCCTGGTGGCATCTTGTGACACCAGCACGGGTGGAAGATGAGGAGTGACATCCAAGCCCTGCCACTTCCCCAGCACCAGTTACAACCAGAAGACTGGAAGGAGCATCTCGGCAAGGAGCTGGTTCTGGAAAAGTCTGATTTTTCTCAGCAGGGAGAGCCTGCAGCCTGTCCCCTGAGGGTGGGACACGGTGACACAGCCCTTGGCTGCTTGTCCTGTGATGACACTGATCCCTGACCGCTGTGGTATGGTGGCAGCTGGCTCAGACATGGATCCAAGGAGTGATCTCCATCAGTTTTCAGTGAAGAGGAGAGAGAGCTCGTCCCCCTCCCCAGCCACTGCAGCAATGCTGTGCTCAAAATCCAAACAGGGACACCACCAACAGCTCCTAAAGCCTCTGAGCTCCCTGATCTGGAGCCCAGCTCTGGGATGGTGGCTGTGGAAGGGCAGAAGGATGGATTGATCCAGTGGGATCATGGTGGTGGCAAGGGCAGAGGGATGGCTGTGCCCGTGTGTCTGTGGGAGCTCTGGGGTGGCAGGGGAGGCCTGGGGTGCTGTGGGGTGCAGGACATGTGGCTCAGTCTGCCATCAGCACCGGGCTGGAGCCCCCCCAGCCTCCCTGCTATTCTTAGCTCTTTCCTTGGGGATCGGTTTTCAGGCAGGGATCAGCAGGAGAGCAGAGCGTGGCAGGGGGCAGTGAGCTCTCCTGCAGCTTCTTCCATGTGCTTTGTTATTCCTTGTTGTTAAACACAGGAGTGGCCCCTCTCCTGCCCTTTCCAGGGGTTTGGGGGTGCATGCCAAGGGCGCTCCCTGCCACAGCAAAGGATGTGCCCTGGAGTCCCTGCAGTTTCCTGTTTCCCTGGCTCTCCACTGTCAGCTTTTCTAACTCTTTCCTGTTTTTTCTTCATTTTACAGCCCAAATAAAAGACTCTCCAGCAAGAAGGTGGCAAGGTAAGCTCATACTCCTGTTGTTGCTTGCTTGATCCGTGTGAGCTGCTGGCTCCGTGGAAGGAAAACTCAGAACAAGCTTGGGAGATATTTCAGGATATATTCCCTAGTGCTGGGGAAAAGTGGGATTAATTCTGGTATCTTTATTCTGGATTGGGGATTTCTTGCTCGTGCCCACAGCTGGAGGCTGCTGGCAGCCTGATTCTTTCTAGGAAAAAATGGGGGGCTTTTGTCAGGCTCTGTCATGCCAGTGCCATAGCAGGGGCACATGGAGGAGGGAAGGAGTCTCCAGAAGGACATATCCCTCTGGGATGTCCTTTCCCAGTATCACCATGTCTGCAGAGTTCTACAGACCAGACCAGTCAGTATCCCCACCTGGAGGGATTCTCCAGCACCCCAAAAATTCCAGCTGCCTTAGACAGCTCTTGGTCCTGTTTTACTTTAACTCCGTGTCACCCTCTGCACTTGGCTTTGTGGGAGCAGCTCCCCCTGTTCAGTCAGGGGCTCTGGGATACCTGGGTGGGCTGCAGGTAACTCTGCTTGAATGGTTCAGCCCTGGTTTAAGCCCAGGTTTAATGCTGTGCTGCTCTGTCCTGCACAGTCACCTTTTCTGTGTGGGCATTGTGATCCCTGACTGCACAGGGATATTGGCTATATTGGATATATTGGATATATGGGCTATATTGGCTATATTGGATATATTGGATATATTGGCTATATGGGATATATTGGATATATTGGCTACATTGGATATATCCGGGCAGTTTGCTGTGGATCTTTGGAGCAGAGGGTCCTTCCCTCCCCTCTCAATGTCACCCTTCTCTCCCAGCTCCCCCATCTCTCCTGTTCCCATGCCATCATGATTTTAAGGATAAAGTGACTCTTACCTACACTGTTCTGCCTCTGCCATGCCCAGGAGGGAGATTTCCCTCTCCACTTGTTGGATTTCTCCTTGCTGGTTTCCCAGCAGGACGGGGGCACTGGAGGAACAGGCAGCTCAGTTTGGGAATGTTCCTGTTCCTGACACTCTCTCTGCTCCCTGTGCTGACCAGAGCAGCTCCCCTGCACCTCTTCCTCCCACTGTGCTCTCACATCTTTCCTTTCTCCATTTTTCCTGCACTCAGCAATCTCCCCTGGCACAGTTCTCCCTCCTGGAAAGGAAGCAGATCCTTGATATTACATTTCCTACTTCCACTCATCTTACTTTCTAGAGCTTTGTTAAAAACACTGGCAGGAAGGAGGGCTGAGGGGAGCAGCCTGTCCCCAGGTTTCCTGTTTTAGGACTCTTGTCCCGTGCCTGGCACAGATAATTTTGTGAGGATTTGAGTTGAACTTTTGGGAAAGGAGATAGATGCCTGTCTTATGGGGGACTGAGCTCTCCTGGGCCGTTGTTGTTCTGAGGCAGGGATGTGTGGGCTTGGGTAAATATTAGTTAATTCAAGAGCAGTCGGGTTTGGTTTGTGATAAGGAGGGAGATAACAGGGTTTTGCCGAGCCAGATCCTTAAACTCAGCCCAGAGCAAGTCCTTTATTGCAGATACTGTAATTAGTGAATAATCCCAAAACATTTGCTTTTAGAAAATTGATTTTATTTTGGTAAGGGCTCTTTCCTCATTTCTGTTACCCAGCTCGTGCCAAGAAATCTCAGCTGCTTAAGCCCTGTTGTGCTTGGCACGATTTAAATGACAAATGTGCCTGAGACTTTAAAATCTAAATATAAACTGAGGGTGAGGATGCAAAATCAGGCTGTGGTCTCTTGGTAAATGCCAGTTGTGCTTAGTGAGTCCTGGCATGAATACACTGTGTAGTGGGAGGAATTCGAGAGCCAATGGTACAAATTCCTCGGAAAAACTGAGGTTTAAAGTGACCTCTGTGCTTTTGTCATCCATCCCCTGCTCAAAGCAGCAGAGCAGAGTGTTCTCCTCCTGCCTGGGCTCCCAGGGCAGCTCCAGAGCTGATCCCAGCCCAGCTCAGCTCCAGCCCTTCCACCCAGCTCAGGGGCTGAGCACTGGGACAAACCTCGAGTCCTGGGGTCAGGTCTGGGCCCCTCGTGACAAAACAGACCCGGAGGGGCTGGAGCGTGTCCAGGGGAGGGACCAGAGCTGGGGAAGGGGCTGGAGCACCAGGAGAGGCTGAGGGAGCTGGGAAAGGGGCTCAGCCTGGAGAAAAGGAGGCTCAGGGGGAACCTTCTGGCTCTGCACAACTCCCTGACAGGAGGGGACAGCCGGGGGGATCGGGCTCTGCTCCCAGGGAACACACCCCCTCTCCAGAGCAGCTCCCAGCCGTGCCGAGGGTGAAGCCCCTGCCAGCGTGTCCTTTAACTTGTCACAAAGCCAGGACACCGCTGTCCCCAGGCCTCGTTAATGATTAGCTCACCCTGGGCCGGGGGCTCGCAGCAGCCTCAGGGGGCTTTGCCCCTTCCCTCCCTGACACCCCCACTTCTTGCCAGCCTTATCAGCCCCGGGAGTACTCTGGCCTTTGCTGGATAACCCACGGCCTTGGGACGGGGCTAAGGGAAGAAAGTGGGAAGAGGGAGCTCTTATCTCTTCCCATTCCAAAGAGCAAGAGCAATGATCCCGGTGTGAAGTCCCAGGAGCATGTCCACGTCTGCTGGCGCTCCGAGGATTTCCCGGGAGAGCTCTGCGGTGAGGGGACATGCGGCATTCCCGGTGCTGATCAACCCCTTTGGCAGAGGCCGAGGGGGGCGGGCGGTGTCACCTGGTGTCACCTGGTGTCACCTGGTGCCAGCATGGTGCCGGTGCTGGCGCTGATGCCGGTGCTGCTGTGGGTCGGGGTGGTTTGTCTCCGTTTCAGGCAGCTGCACCAGACGAGCTCGCTGGCAGTGGGGGTGATGGAGGAACCCTACAGGGACAGCCTGGACTGCACCGACGAGGACATCACCGACAAGGTGAGGGCTCCTTGCCTCCTTCCCTCGGCCTGGCCATCGGGATTAAGCTGATTTTGGCTGAGTTTTTTGAGATGTGGAGAGGAAAGGGTCACAGGGTGAGGTGGGAGCGGTGCTGTCTGTGTCACCCTGCAGGATCCAGTGCCTTGCAGTGCTCCAGTGGTCCCAGGCAGGATCAGGCTGAAGCTCCTCTCTGCAGATGGGACATGGGAATCTCTCCCCATGCAGGGGATGGAGGAGGAGAGCACTCCAGGTGCTGTGCAGGGTCAGGAGGTGACTCTGGATCCTCCTCTGGGGGCAGTGGCTTCCCCCAGAGTGCTGGGAGGAGGAATGGGCCGTTCACAGGCAGCATTTTCACTTCTCCTTCACACAAGAAGATGTTCTCAGGTTCTGCTTTTCTGAGCCAACGCACCCAATATGAAACAGAAACTTCCTCTCTTTGGCACACTCTCATGCAGTCAGAGCTGATTTTGTGCTGGTGCTGATGGGTTTTCCTGGGGTGTTACAAGAAAAAAGTTGTAGGATAAGATGGGAGCACAGGAAGGATTTTGTTTGAGTATCCCTAATTAAAAAACAGGGAGAAGAAACTATGGGAAAGAAGCTAAGATTGTATAAATGTCTACTGAAGTCCTGAAACCCCTTGGAAATGACTTTTTAACTCTGGAATCAGAGAATGTCCTGAGGAGCTGTGTGTGAAAGAGAAATGTGTATGTGTGTGGCTGCACTTGGAAATAACTAGAATGCAGGGAAGACCTTTAAAAAAATAAATAAAAATCAACATGGAAGTTGAGTAAAATAGTTGGGTTCCTTAAGGCATTTGATTTGGGAAACCTTTGATGGAAAATGCACTGCTGGGAAAGGCCTTGTGTGTCTGTAGGGCATCTTTAATACTCCCATGTCTCCTGCTCTTCTCCCAGAGCCAGAGTTTGGCTTTTCCAGACATGGTCCTCATTTCTTCTCCCCCAGGATTATTTTATATGGAATTTGAATGAATTAAATGCAAATACAGCTGAAATAAACCCTGTACAGTTACGGGGAGAAAATCCTCAGCCCTGGTCCTTCCCTACCAGCTGGCACTGATCCCTCCATCTGTAAATTCAGGGTTCCCATCCTGTTCCAGGCAATGGGGAGTTCTCCAGCCTCAAGGCTGCACATGGAACTCTGGAGATCCACCAGGATCTTTCCCTCTAGACTCCCTTTAGGATGCCATCAGGAAAGGGTTGAAGAAAGGAAAGAGTGAAGTGTTTGACCCTAAACTGGTACATGGGAGTCACCAAAACCCGGGAAACTGGGGTGGAAAAGGATCTTTTAAAGGATGCTTTGAATCAAGGCATGACTTCCCAATTCCAGTGGAAGCTCTCCTTGTTTAGGGATGTTGTGGGGGGCTGCTCTGGGTTTGAGGATGCCCTGAGGCTGATCCCTGTCCCTGCTGGCAGGTGGTGTTCCTGGAGAAGCGGGTGACAGAGCTGGAGAAGGACACGGCTGCCAACGGGGAGCAGCACAGCCGCCTCCGGCAGGAGAACCTGCAGCTGGTGCACAGGTAAGGGCCTCACCTGGGCAGCCTCTGCCCCTCCACTGCTTCAGCTCCCTTCCCAAACCCAACCCACAGCCCTTACCAGGGATACTGACTCCATCCCAGCTGAGAACAGGACACAGTGACATGGAGATTTTATATTTTATGTGCTTCAGTTCTCTGGAGCTCCAGGACTTGTTTTTTTTGGTGATTTTTATGTATGGGTTTTAATTGCTGGAGCTGTGCCAGGGGAGGTTTAGGTTGGATATCAGGAAAGGTTCTTCCCCAGAGGGTGCTGGGCACTGCCCAGGCTCCCCAGGGAATAGGCACAGCCCCGAGGCTGCCAGAGCTCCAGGAGTGTTTGGACATCAGGGATGCCCAGGATGGGATTGTTGAGGTGTCTTTGCAGGGCTGGGAGTTGAAATCCATGATCCTTGTGGCTCCCTTTCCATGGTTTGTTGTTGTTGTTGTTTGATTGTTTTGTTTTGTTTTGTTTTGTTTTGTTTTGTTTTGTTTTGTTTTGTTTTGTTTTTTAATGTGCTTCCCTGCTCCATGTGTGCCTCCCAAAAGGTCTCTGGAACTCTGGGTCTTGGCTTTTTAAAATATGTTTATATGTATATTTATTCTTATATTTTTTTTTGTGTTTACTATCTTTTCCTGCCCCATATGCCCCTTCCAAATGGCCTCTGGAGTTCCCAGGCTTCCCTCCTGCTGGATCCTGGCCAGGGTGCAGCCCTTTGGATCCCACATGATGTAATCCCTGTGTGTGCTAATCTGCCAGGCTCGTCTCTCCCAGCATATCTTTACCCTGAGCAGATAAACCCAGCACAGTTTATCTATAGGGCTGTAATACTGTTAAATAACAGTCCTGTCAGGGAACTGAGCCACTCAAACAAAGGTTTCCCTAAGCCCTGATAAACTTAGGAGCAAGGGAAATGTTTTCACTTCAGCAGCTTGGCCTGGAAGTGTCGCTGGCTCTGGGTGAGCTCAGTGCTGGGGGGGAGTGGGATCAGCTGGGAAAAACCTTCTCTGGGCGAAGGCATTGCATAAATTCCATCCCTGGAGTGCTCATGGCCA